TCTGTTCCTGTTTGGCTGTGACTCCATCCTGGAGAGAAATATCAGCTGTGCTGCTGCCATCAACACCTTTGTTTCTAGATGTTTAACTTGGCCTGAGAATGAATCTGATTTGGAAAAGTGATCAGAAACATAAAGCGACTGAAAGATTCTGAATTTCTATTTTTTTAAACAACCCCTGACAAAAATGATGGAATCAGCAGATTCTGTTCATTCAGTTGTTTATTTTTGCTGCAGTTCTTTTTAAATGCAGACTAACGAGCAGGTCTAATTGATGCAGGTGTTAGTTTTGGGGATGGATAATTTAGAGGGTAACTCCATAATTATTATGGAAGCAAATCGTTACCATATTTCAAATGAAAAAGCATTTCCAGAAATACTTTTTCATTTAAAGAACATGGCTGCATTGTTTGGCTCATAAATGAAATTAGTAATCAATCCTCCTATTTGCATTTTCATTTTCTTCTTCAACACCGCTCATCCTTTTACTTAATTAAAATGAAAAAGAAAAAGACATTTGAGATTTATTTTTCAAAATGCACCCCAGCAAATTCATACCAAAATTCTTTTTGAAATGTAAAATTTGAAAATGAAAAAGCATTTCCAGAAATACTTTTTCATTTAAAGAACGTGGCTGCATTGTTTGACTCATAAATGAAATTAGTAATCAATCCTCCTATTTGCATTTTCATTTTCTTCTTTAACACTGCACATTTTAACTTATATAATTAAAGTGAAAACACAGCAGACATTGCTTTTTCATTTTCATGGTCTGCCTGCAAAGTACTGTCCACAACTCGAAAACGAAAAAGCATTGTGAGCGGCGGGGGCAGCAGAGTGACGTCAGCAGCGTGTTTTCTCTTTGATTATGGCCTAAAAGTGCGGTGTTAAAGAAGAAAATGAAAATGCAAATAGGAGGATTGATTGCTGATTTAATTTATGAGTCAAACAATGCAGCCATATTCTTAAAATGAAAAAGCCTTTCTGGAAATGCTTTTTTCATTTTCAAATTTTACATTTCAAATTGAAGTTTGGTATATATTTGCTGGGGTAAATTTTGAAAAATAAATCTCAAATGTCTTTTTCTTTTTAATTTTAATTAAGTAAAAGGATAAGCGGTGTTGAAGAAGAAAATGAAAATGCAAACAGGGTTGATTACTAAATTCATTTATGAGTCAAACAATGCAGCCACATTCTTAAAATGAAAAAGACTTTCTGGAAATGCTTTTTCATTTTAAATATGGTAACGATTTGCTTCCATAAATTATTTCCTCTGCTTGGTCTTAAAAAATTAACCGTTACTGACTACATATTTTTATTTCTTCTTGATTTCTTTCAGTGTTTCTTAAAGTCAAACAGTTTAAATTTGAAATTATGTTAATTTTGAGCCAGGGGTTGTATAAAAAAATTGCAATTCAGAATCTATCAGTGGCTTTATGTTTTTAGTTTACGTTTCCAAATTGGATTCATTTTCAGTGTATTTATCTAAATGAGTAATTTTAATGTAGAATGGTTTGTAGGTGAGAGAATTGTCATATCTCTGATGTTGCTTTTGTTTTCATCTTTCAACAAGCGTCTCTGAAAATAAATAATTTTTCATGGCTGGATAAATAACGCAGAATAAGAGATCTAAATTTACATTTTAGTCTTATGACAGCAGTTATATTTAGCAAAAGAAGCTTTGTTCTATTACAGGTTTCCTCTCCTCACAGTTTTTCCTTTTTATGCTTTAAAAAACCTACAATGCAGCAATTGAGTTGATTCCCTCCCACTATCATCGCAACCCCAACTTTATTACAGCAGAAGTAAAGACCTGGCCTTTTCATCCAGGCCAACTATTCCCTCTAACGACCCCCCTTTCAGAGACATAGACAGGTATGGGGCATTGCAGGCTAACAAAGAAGCCAGACGACCCCCATTCCAAAGGGGGGGACCCATTCATCCGTTTCTATTTGCATGTTTTCTAAACTAAAACCAGGCTTTGTTGGGCTGCTGGATAAAACCTGGAACTAAACGCTATTTCTGACATTTTGAATTAAAAAATCTTCCTGGATGGAAGAGAAACGTCTTTAAACTTGGAAACAAAGTCCAGTGGATTGATTTTAACTTTTTTGGAATGACGCTAATCTGGATGACTGAGAATTTTCACTTAGATCTCTTATTCACAAAACCAAACTCGTCAGCCTAAATATTATCAGTTTTAGAGACGGACGGATTCCTGGAGACTCACCTGAGTTGTTTAAGTTAATGCTGCGCAGCTTGGGGAAGAGCCGCTCCAGAATATCCTTGCTGTCCTGAATGGAGGCCAAGTTGTTGTTGGCCATTATCAGAGTGTCCAGTCTGGGGAACATGGAGCCAAACTTGCACACCTCTGCCCAGTCCTGGAGGCTGTTGTCGGTGATGTGAAGGAGGCGCAGCGTGGGGCAGGCCACACTAGAGGCACTTACACTTCTGTACTCGTTAAGGCACAGGAACAGCTCCTCCAGCCTGCAGGAGAACACCAGGAGAGCCCAGCTGGGGCTGAGGAAAACACACACTGAGGGGGAAACAGGAAGAGACATACAATAGATCTGAAGGTGAACCCATCCCCAGTTTGTGGTGAAGCTATTCTTCTTCTACCTTCAGTGTTCATGGGATGATAATTTTTTCATCTATATAATTGCAGCAGAATAGGATGATTATCTTTTCATCTATATAATTGCAGCAGATTTGAGGAGATTTGAGGAGGAGTTTAAGTTCAGACTGTGGAAGAACCACAGTGCTGGTTATTGTCGGCCCTCAGTGCAGCGTTTGATGCTGTTGATCACTGCATTTTATTAGAAAACTGGGTCGGCCTTTCTGGTTCACACTGGACTGCTTTAAATCCTCCCTGATGGACAGGGACTCCTATGTGTTAGTAGGGAACTTTAAATCAGAGACCAGAAAAATCACATGCGGGGTTCCCCAAGACTCCATTCTGGGGCCCCTCCTATTCAACATCTACATGCTCCACTTAGCTCAGATTATAGCGAACAACCAGATCCGTTACCATAACTATGCAGATGATGCACAGCTTTACATCCCAATGTCTTTACGACTGAATAAAAACCAAACTGAGGTAATAATCTTTGGACCAAAGGAGCAGAGATCTAGAGTTAGCTTCCAGCTTTAGCTACTACAGCTAGTAGTAGCTGAAGTCTTATGGCTAAAATCTTGGTGTCATGATGGACTCAGACCTGAACCTTTAGTTACTAAGTCAGCCTCTAATCACCTGAAGAACATCTCGAGGATTAAAGGAGTAATGTCCAGCAGGATCTGGAAAAACTCATTCATGCATTTATCTTTAGTACAATTGATCACTGCAACAGTTTCTTCATAGGTTTGCCTAAAAAGTCCGTCAGACAGCTGCAGCTGATCCAGATGCTGCTGCCTGCGTCCTCACTAGAACTAAGAAAGTGGATCCCATCAGCCACGTTCTGAATTCCTTCCACCGGCTCCCTGTAGCTCAGGGAATAGACTTTAAAATCCTTCTGTTAGTCTAGAAATCACTGAATAGATCAGCACTGCAATCCATAACAGATCTGTTTTGAGTGGATCTATCTCCCAGACCACTCAGGTCTTCTAGTTCCAGCCTCCTCTGTCCACCCAGACCTAGAACCAAACATGGAGAGGCAGCATCTATGCTCCACGGATCTGGAACAAACTGCAGACTGGGAAAGAGCTGAAAGCCTGAGTTCTTTGAAGTCAAAATTAAAAACCTGTTAGTTTAGATCTGCCTTTGACTGATGGAGTCAGACGGTTAACTGAGGGATTATTAGTTTAAGGTTCATGTCAAACATTTGATTTTCTTCTCTACCTACTTTTATCTTTTCTTTTTTACTCTTTTATTCTGCTTTTTTATTTTATTTTGTAATCTAATTCATGTAAAGCACGTTGAATAGTCCATGTACTGAATTGTTCTATACAAATGAACTTGCCTTTCCAACCATTGAGCGGGTTAAAAAACAACCAACAACCAACCAGCTAATAAGCCAATTAACTAACCAAACAAATATATTTCACCAATTAACCAAAACTAAGTAAAATACCAACCAACAAAACAAGTAACCCCAACTATCAACCGTAAAATATCCAAGCATTCAACATTAAAACCACCCGAGCAGCTAGTAACGCCCCAATGCGAAACGTTCGTACGGTTGTATGACACGGTTCTAGTGTCGCTCTTTGTCTTACTCTGGAATGTTCTGGGTCAGCAGCATCACCGTATCCCAGGAGATTTGAGTGTTGTTGAGAACGAGGCGTCGCACTCGGGGAAAGGCTTCGGCGCACTGCGGCTTAAGGATGGTTCCTGCCAGCGGGTTGGAGCTCAAGTTGAGGAATTCCAGATTGGGGATGCTTGATGTGATTTTACTGATCTGAAAAAATATTTGGGTCTTATTAGGTTCATCTACCTGCTGGTGAAGATTCTCAGTCATCCAGGTCAAAGTCATTTAAAAAAAGGTAAAATCAATCCACTGGACTTTGTTTTCATGTTTAAAGACGTTTCTCTTCCATCCAGGAAGATTTTTCAATTCAAAATGTCAGAAATAGCGTTTAGTTCCAGGTTTTATCCAGCAGCCCAACAAAGCCTTCAAAAACCTACAATGCAGCGATAGAGTTGATTCTTTCTCGCTATCATCGCAGCCCCAACCCCTTCACAGGAGAACAGAAGACCTCGCCTATTCAGCCAGGCCAACAATTCCCTTTAACGGGTCGACCCCCCTTTCAGAGACATAGAC